CAATCACGGATGACGGAATTCAAGGCTAAACAAATTTCATCATACACTCTGAAAATAGATTCATACTACTGCACACCACTGCAAATTACCTAATCCGAGGAAGAAATAGAAATCGATTACACCCTATCACTCCAGTGGGTCTAAAACTGACCGTATGATGAATGAAAGGAAACTAAATCTGTTGTTTCAATTAATTTGCATAAGGGTGTATATGACACAATTTCTACAAATGCCACGCTTTTTTTTATACAACATTTTTTTTTATTATTATTAAAACATTTCTATTTACTTGACTTATATACGAACATATCTGTATTGAATGATTCGCTTTTTCTGGCTTATCAACTCATTGCAGGTTATTTAAAGTTAGACATTATTTATAGAATGTTATTTTTTATTTTTTTGATAATAATGGTTTAGTGATACAAGTCTTACTAATTAACCTATAGCTGGGGCGGAAGGAGATGTGGATTCATACCTGTTCCAAGGGTATTTGCGTGTAAGTGAATATAACGAACCCATCAGGAAGTGGAATACGGCTCTCCAATGACTATTTCAAGTCATTATCCCTTATCCATTACTCAATCTTACAACAGTATGCCCAAGTCGTCACTCATCGAGGTATAGACCAGGTTCGACGTTGCTTAACTTCGGTGTGTCCTGTGTCTATGTAATGTGGCTGTAAGCCAACATTTCTGTAGGTTAAGACTAGAAAGTTTACATTTATAAATGACAATCGGAGAGTCAACGTACCCGAGATGGAAAAAAGGGTTCAAAACATTCATTTACAAGTAGATATTTTGTTTAAAATTTATTTAAAATTTATTATAGTTAATTGGTATTTGCACGGTACCGCGAACGTAAGTATTTAAATATTGTTATTCTTGAAAATATATCGATATTTTATAAATATATATGTAACACGATATATATATATATATATATATATATATATATATATATTTATATATAATAATTATACATATATATAAAATTATGCTTCATATAAAATATATTTTATTAAAATATTTTACATATATAAAATACCTTTTATATAGAAATATATTTTACATATATAAAAATATATTTTGTATTTAAAATATATTTGTATATATATTTCTTAAGAATAGATTTTATAGATAGATAAAATATGTTTGATATATAGATAGATAGATAGATAGATAATGAACTGAGATAGATAGATAGATAGATAGATATATAGATAGATAGATAATGAACTGAGATAGATAGATAGATAGATAGATAGATAGATAGATAGATAGATAGATAGATAATGAACTGAGATAGATAGATAGATAGATAGATAGATAGATAGATAGATAGATAGATAGATAGATAGATATTATTCCGAAAAAAAATCGCATATTTGTATATCTTCTTCAAGATTTATCTGAACCACTTAACACTTATACAAGATTTGCTCTCCGTGTTAAATAATTAATAAGTAAAAATCAAAATAAAATATAATCCCTTACTCTTCCCAAATCGTCGTTATCCGTCTCTTTGAGCATGCACTTAGATCATAAATTCTAATGAAAATGCAAATAGTTACTAGCATGCTTCCACTTAAAAGACACCCTCCTTGAACAAGGCACTCTCCCCGGAATGATCCCACGCTAAGTTTCCATTAATCTTTGAAGTATACGCCCAAGTCCCTCCTAAGTGTGCCCCTGTGTTCCGAGCAGGAAAAAAAAATTCCCTTCCCAAATTAAAATGAGCATCTCTCATTGTGCAGTGGTTAGTGTATTTATCGATGAGATCATCTCATATGGCATCCCTCGGTGTATGTAGAGGGTACGGCAGTAACAACGCACTTCTTTTTTCGAGCTGAGATGGATAGGACGACGTGAAGCATTTGAGTGGTCATGAATGATCTTACAGGCTCGAACTGAAAGCAATTACCGAATTAAAAGAAGCGATTTCTGGGAGATTTTCTGAAATTAATGTAGAAATTTGTCAAATACTTTGTAGAAGTTTCCCTGAGAGGGTCCAGCGTTTAAATGAACATGGACGGGAGATTTTTAATGTTAAATAGTTTGTTAACCATAACAGATCGTGTTGGGCAACCCCTCGACGTAGAGTAATGGTTAGCAAACTTGTCTCGCTAGAACTATTTAAACAGTGTAGTGAGTTCGAGTCTCACTGATTGTCCCATACATTCGGCCTTGTATCCCATCTGCGCTATGCTTAGAAAACACATTTAGCCATTTTTAAGTGGTGTAATGTCTAGCAAGCTTTACTTGCTAGATAGATAGATAGATAATGAACTGAGATAGATAGATAGATAAATAGATAGATAGATAGATAATGAACTGAGATAGATAGTTAGATAGTTAGATAATGAAATAGTTGAAATGAAAATACATTTAGCCATTTTTAAGTGGTGTAATGTCTAGCAAGCTTTACTTGCTAGATCAATTAAGATTGAAAGGTAAGTTCGACCCTCTCTAGGCGCCCCCAAACTTCCGGCATTGTGTGTATGCATTTCTTCCAGTGATTCACAATCTTTATAAAAGTGTTTTACGACTTCCAAAATGTATTTCAGGTTGGAAAGGAAACAGTAGTAATGATAGTCTTCACATCTGACCAACACTTAGACAATCATCCTAATAATTCGTGTTGCTTTGATGAAAAAATATTTATAAATGTTCTTAAACTTCAGCAATATATTTTTGTTCAATAGAAGTTCACAAATAAAAAAGGGCGTTCATTTTTTACGCACCATCTATTTATCGGATAAATCTGATTTTTTCCCGTAAATATTATTTATATTCGAACTAACATTGATGTTTTGTTTCTGTTATCCCAAAGTTAAAGCCGCTCTGCTCTCCAAGTCTTCTTCAGGTGCCTGTTGATCCAACTCAACTTCAGAGTATTTTTTAACATAAATGTTATTTATATTCGAACTAATATTGTGGTCTTTGTCTGTTATCACGACATTAAAGCCGTTCTGCTCTCCAGTCTTCTTCAGGTGCCTGTTGATCCGAGTCATATTCAGAGTATTATTTCACGTAAACGTTATTTATATTCGATCTAATATTGTGTTCTGTGCCTGTTATCACAACGTTAAAGCCGCTCTGTTCAAATAGTTCTCACTCTGAGTTTAAGTTTGCACTCCCCAGCCCAGAGATTGAATTTTCAGTTACTTCTTCTTTATGTGTCATGTCCCTTCAGGATTTAGGCGATCGTGGCTCTCCGCAATGTCCTGTCTTTTGTAGCTCTTAATGAACATTGTCCTTTTATTTCTACCCAAACCCTATTTCCCCATCCATTTACTCAAGCTCATTATGTTATGCGTTGTTTACTCTGTCTCTTGTCTTCAATCTGTGAGTATCAGATTCTCCAAGCTTTCTTTCCTCATTATAATTCATTGTAATTCCTACAGCAGATAACTTTGGAATTCTTCTTCTATACATCATGCCCTTTCAGGTCGTTGGCGATCATGTTTTATAAGTTCCCTCCAAGACTTCGTTGTTGCTCACGTAATTGTTCCATGATATCCTTTCTGTATCACATTTCTTTTCAATAAAATGTTGTCTTTTGTTATCCTTCCTTAACCTTTCGCTATTCAGTGCTCCTTCGTTTTCCACATCCATTTACTGTTTCTTAAAACTTTGAGTTCATCTTTTGCTATTCCAGTGCTCCTTCGTATTTCAATGTCGTAAAAACACTTCGAGGTATTTTACTGTTTTATTAATACTTTACTTAGTTTTGGAAGGCATCATTTCAATGCTGTTGTCTCCTTGTCTTCAATATATTTTCCTGTATGTCCAATGCTGCTTCTTCGTATTTCTCTTAATTTCTGTTGTTCCCAGGCCCGTGTCCAATTTTCCTTTGACTCCATATGACGGGGGTGGTAGCTCTTGTCAAGGTCCCAGCTATGGGCTAATAATGAACCTCCAAACAAAACAAAAAAAAAAGTGCATTTTTATAGTAAAGATACCAACAATCCATTTTATGATCTACAAACTATATATCTAAAAAAAAAAAACATACGATTATTCTGAAAGTATAAAATTATCTACAAAATATATGTAGTTGAAAGCATGAAATTATGTTCCATTTTTCGGTATTAACTAGCCCATAGAGGTGTTGATGTGCCGCTAAACGAAATCAACAAACAAAACAACCAAAAGGAAAAAACTCTTTCATGATATTAGTTCATATAATATCCTACAAGATATCAAAATGTATTCCGAAATATTACTTCACCAAAACTATAACATAAAGTACACATACCTCAGCCTCTAGTAAATTATGTCCACACAAACAAGTATATGCACAAAAGCTGAGTATCATCTACCATGTATTCAATTGCGAAAGCAGAATGACATACCATATTTTTATTACTTCAAAGCTCCCAAAAAAATTAAATTTCAGCATTAAATGACCCATAAAGAGCTGATATGCCGTTAAACAAACAAATCAATCAACGTTGTTCTCATCCTTTTGCTAACAACAATGTATTCTGTCTTATTGCACTTGATGCTTAATGTTTTCTTTTCGGTTTCATTTACAACCTTCTGTGGGAAATTTTGTAGTTTCCTTTATGTGTTTGCTATCAACACTGTGTCATCTGCAGATCTTATGTTATTAAGATTGTGGCCGCCAATAACGAATCCTGTCATCATTCTACTTCTCACAGAATTGCTTCGCTGCATATGGGGAATAAGTTCGGTGAGAAGACACATCCTTGTCTTACACGCATTTCTATTATTGTATATCTGATGATCTCATCTCAATAAATTCACGAACTAAGGCATTAATCCACTAGGATTAAAGTGTTCGTTTTAAATCATTCTTCTGTCTTATTCAAACTAATATTAAAATTTTCATAAAACTTCAGCCGGGTAATAGGTGAATAGACCTTTCTATACTCTTGAAATATTCACCCGTGTTTTTCTATTTGTGTGTATGCATGTAGATTTTTTTTTCTGTGAGCATGAATTCCTGTATGGTTATCATTATGTGTGAGGCTTACGGTCACATAATATTGAAACACCAGTTCTTGTACAATCGCAGAAGTTAAGCACCGTCGAGCCTGGTCAGTACCTAGTTGGGTGACCGCTTGGGAATACCAGGTGCTGTAAGCAAGAATGTACAGATGGTATAATGGATGTCGGATTGGAATGGAAAATGTGAAAACCCAGTTACAATTCGACTTGTGTTCATTATATTAGCTTATGTGCAAATACTCTTGGAAAAGTTATGAATTCAATTCCTCTTCCCCAGCTATGGGTTAAATGGTAGGACTTGTATCAGTAAAACATTATTATCTCAAAAAAATCCTTTTCACTCTAAAATATTTTGTGGCATTAAATAACATGGAAGAGGTTGATAATCTGTCAAAAATACAAATGATTGAATTCTTGTGTGTGCTTGAGTTTATGTGTGTTTACGTCTTTTGTAGGTGTATGTGTGTATGTATTTGTACTCATATACGATTGTAGCTAAGTGTGTATTTGTACTTTATGAGACTGTGTTTGTGTATGATAGTGTGTATACTTGTATGTGGCTTTGCTTATTTATATTTTCACATCAGTTCGTCTGTTTGTGTGTACGCTTCATCGGGGCTCTCATGTAAGTACGCATGGATTGTGTTTAAATGTGATTCCGAGTCGTTGTGCATTTGTGTGTATTTATGTTAGTGTGTTTGCCCTTGTACATGTATTTGCGTGTGTATTTTTGTCTGTGAATGTGTTTCTTTGTGTACTTTTGCGTACATATTTGTGCGTTTGTGTGTGTATGGGTGCGTATATTTTTGTGTATCTGTATGCGAATTTGTATATCTTTTTCTGTGTGTGTGTGTGTGTTGGTATATGTTTATGCTTCGTGAGTGTGTTTATACAAATACTTTTGTTTATTTCTATGTGTCTGCATGCTTGTGCGTATTTACCTCTGTATTTGTGTGTGTATGCCTGTGATCGTGCGTTTGTGTGTATCTGTGTATATGTTTTGCATTACATTGCTTGTGTATTTTGTGTGTGTGTGTGTGTGTGTGTTTTGCGTGTGTTCAGTGTTCCTGCCTGTGGTTGCGTGTATTAGTGAATATTTGTTTTTGCTTATGTGCAATCTGAGTACTTGTTAGAATAGGTGTTCGCTCGCGCGTGCGTGTTCGCGCGCGCGTGGGTTTGTGTTTGTATGTGCGTGTGTTCGTATGCGTGCGTGCGCGCCTATTTTTCTATGTATTCAAACTAAGGTCACCACCCCAGATAACATGGCTAATGAGCGTCAGAAATTCATTTTACACTTGATTTCTTTTTAACTAGATTACAACCGCTAACTAAATGTACTCTTGTTTACAAGAAAATAAAATCCATTTATGATAAAAGAAAATGAATAGGGATATCTATCAGTCTAGCAGTTGTTAACGGATAAACCTAATTGTCCATGAAGCCGTTAGTTCGTCCCTAGACAGCTACTCCATAATTATGGCTTTTTATCAGCACTGGCTTCGTCCAAGAAATACCTCATTATAAATTGTTCATTGTATTTGAATCTTACATTGTAGCGAATATCGTTCACCGTTTATCTATCTATCTATCTATCTATCTATCTATCTATCTATCTATCTATCTATCTCAGTTTGTTCATTATCTATCTATCTATCTCAGTTTGTTCATTATCTATCTATCTATCTATCTATCTATCTATCTATCTATCTATCTATCTCAGTTGTTCATTATCTATCTATCTATCTATCTATCTATCTATCTATCTATCTATCTATCTGTATCGGTTTTGGCGCTTGTCAGCTCGAACTCTGCCACAGGGTGGAGTGATTGGCCATGTTCCTAACCACTTTACACTGAGGAAGAGTTGGTTTTCTTTCGGAGATTTTGCTTCGCTTAGGCGACCACATGTCTTCCCGCTAACAAGTTCCATCTACCCAAGTTGTTGACCAGTTTTCCTTCTCCTAGGTGAGGGTATTGCGGCATGCCAGTCTAATAAGTTTAGTCTGCAGTCACTCCCGAAGGAAGCCCGAGTGTTGGTCTTGCTGCCTCACTCGTCACTGCCCTATACGTCGAGTCTAACCTTCTCTTTCTTATCAATTTTTACAGGTTATTTAAAGCCAGAAATATTTTTAAATTATAAGAATTTTTTTAGATAAGAATGCTTTAGTGATATGTCTTACTAATTAACCCATAGCTGGGAGAGAAGAGGTGGATTCGAAACTTCCCAGGGGTATTTTCGTGTAAATCGATATAATGAATCCGACTGGAATTGGAACTCAGCTCTCTGATCCGTTATCCATCTCACCATCCATAAATCCAAGCTTACAGCACCTGGGATTCCCAAGCGGTCATCCACTTAGATCACGGGTGTCCAAACTGACTTAATTTAATAACTACTTACGATAAAGTTCTGATGTTTGAGACCCGCAACGCACGAAAAAAATACACATACATTTTTGTTATATAGACATATAAACGTACGTTTTATTTCAATGGGGTCTCTAGTCATACCAAGTAAAAGTTATAAAACTTGAATTTATCTTATTTGCCTTTTATATTAGCTGTAAATGGACTAAAGAGCATTGGAATAGCGAAAGATGCCTTCCAAAAGCTAGGCAAAGTATTAACAAACAGTAAAATATCTGGGAAGTGTTTTAACAGAGGACGGAAAGTGCCACACTGAAATACGAAGCAGCATTGAAATAGCGAAAGATGCCTTCCAAAAGCTAAGCAAAGTATTAAGAAACAGTAAAATATCTGGGAAGTGTTTTAACAGAGGACGGAAAGTGCCACACTGAAATACGAAGCAGCATTGAAATAGCGAAAGATGCCTTCCAAAAGCTAAGCAAAGTATTAAGAAACAGTAAAATATCTGAAACGTTTTTTAACAGAGGACGGAAAGTGCCACACTGAAATACGAAGCAGCATTGAAATAGCGAAAGATGCCTTCCAAAAACAGCAAAGTATTAAGAAACAATAGTAAAATATCTGAAACGTTTTTAACAGAGGACGGAAAGTGCCACACTGAAATACGAAGCAGCATTGAATAGCGAAAGATGCCTTCCAAAAAGCTAAGCAAAGTATTAAGAAACAGTAAAAATATCTGAAACGTTTTTTTTTAACAGAGGACGGAAAGTGCCACACTGAAATACGAAGCAGCATTGAAATAGCGAAAGATGCCTTCCAAAAGCTAAGCAAAGTATTAAGAAACAGTAAAATATCTGAAACGTTTTTTAACAGAGGACGGAAAGTGCCACACTGAAATACGAAGCAGCATTGGAATAGCGAAAGATGCCTTCCAAAAGCTAAGCAAAGTATTAAGAAACAGTAAAATATCTGAAACGTTTTTTAACAGAGGACGGAAAGTGCCACACTGAAATACGAAGCAGCATTGAAATAGCGAAAGATGCCTTCCAAAAGCTAAGCAAAGTATTAAGAAACAGTAAAATATCTGGGAAGTGTTTTAACAGAGGACGGAAAGTGCCACACTGAAATACGAAGGAGCATTGGGATAGAGAAAGATGACTTCCAAAAGCTAAGCAAAGTATTAAGAAACAGTAAAATATCTGGGAAGTGTTTTAACAGAGGACGGAAAGTGCGACACTGAAATACGAAGGAGCATTGGAATAGCGAAAGATGACTTCCAAAAGCTAAGCAAAAGCTATTAAGAAACAGTAAAATATCTGGGAAGTGTTTTTAACAGAGGACGGAAAGCCACACTGAAATACGAAGGAGCATTGGAATAGAGAAAGATGACTTCCAAAAGCTAAAAAGTATTAAGAAACAGTAAAATACCTGGGAAATACGTTAAAAGCCAACAGTAAAAAACAGTAAAAATATCTGGAACAGAGGACGGAAAGTGCGACACTGAAATACGAAGGAGCATTGGGAAAGATGAAAAGCTAAAAAGTATGAAACAGTAAAAAGCTAAAACGTTTTTAAGAGGACTAATAAACAACATTGAAAAAGGAAAATACCTTCCAAAAGCTAAGGGAAGTGTTTTTTAACAGAGGACGGAAAGTGCGACACTGAAATACGAAGAAGCATTGAAATAGAGAAAGATGCCTTCCAAAAGCTAAAGCAAAGTATTAAGAAACAGTAAAATATCTGGGAAGTGTTTTTAACAGAGGACGGAAAGTGCGACACTGAAATACGAAGGAGCATTGAAATAGAGAAAGATGACTTCAAAAGCTAAGCAAAGTATTAAGAAACAGTAAAATATCTGAAAAGTTTTTTAACAGAGGACGGAAAGTGCGACACTGAAATACGAAGGAGCATTGGGATAAAAAGAGAAAGATGAAACTTCTGAAACGTTTTTAAAAGAGGACGGAAAGTGCCACACTAAAGCAGCAAAATAGTGCCTTAAAAGCTAAGAAAACAGAAAATATCTGGGCAAAAAGTTTTTAACAGAGGACGGAATGCCTTCCAAAAGCTAAGCAAAGTATTAAGAAACAGTAAAATATATGAAACGTTTTTAACAGAAGGAAAGTGCCATTGAAATACGAAGATAAATAGCGAAAGATGCCTTCCAAAAGCTAAGCAAAGTATTAAGAAACAGTAAAATATCTGAAACGTTTTTTAACAGAGGACGGAAAGTGCCACACTGAAATACGAAGCAGCATTGAAATAGCGAAAGATGCCTTCCAAAAGCTAAGCAAAGTATTAAGAAACAGTAAAATATCTGAAACGTTTTTTAACAGAGGACGGAAAGTGCCACACTGAAATACGAAGCAGCATTGAAATAGCGAAAGATGCCTTCCAAAAGCTAAGCAAAGTATTAAGAAACAGTAAAAAATATCTGAAACGTTTTTAACAGAGGACGGAAAGTGCCACACTGAAATAGCGAAGATACTAAAGCATTAAGAAACATTAAAATATTCAAAGATGCCTTACAAAAGATGCTAAAGCAAAGTATTAAGAAACAGTAAAATATCTGAAACGTTTTTTTAACAGAGGACGGAAAGTGCCACACTGAAATACGAAGCAGCATTGAAATAGCGAAAGATGCCTTCCAAAAGCTAAGCAAAGTATTAAGAAACAGTAAAATATCTGAAACTAAAATTTGTTTTTTTTAAACGTTTTTTTAACAGAAATACGACAGAAATAGCGAAAGATGCCACACTGAAATAAAATATC